ATACCATTTCGGACAAATGGCTGTCCAGTCTCTTCTTAAAAACCTCCAGTGTTGGAGCATTCACCGCTTCTGGAGGCAGGTGGTTCCACTGGTTAATTGTTCTAACTGTCAGGAAGTTTCTCCTTAGTTTTAAGTTGCTTCTCTCCTTGATTAGTTTCCATCCATTGCTTCTCGTCCTGCCTTCAGGCGCCTTGGAGAATAGCTTGACTCCCTCTTCTTTGGGGCAGCCCCTGAGATACTGGGAGACTGCTATCACGTCACGCCCGCCCGGTCCTTCTTTTCATTAGGACTAGACATACCCAGTTCCTGCAACCCTTCTTCACATGCTTTAATCCTACTAATTGCTCTTCTTTGCACATTCTGGGGGGGGGTGTAGGCTGAGCCCCATCCACCTTAAAACCCCCGAGTTTCAGAAACACCCGTCTACCTAGGAGAAGCAGGCGGGACCACCTTTCCCACGAACGCCCTGACTCTCCAAAGGGCGAGAACCGGAGGTGTATCCACACATTCCCCCACATACACACACACAGACACTTTGTGCCCCTCTTCCCTCCCGCCCCCTCCAGAGCGGAGCGAAGCGAAGCCCCATCTCGGCGCGCCGCTGCGACGGAGAACCGGAGGTGAGGGCTGCACCGCCGCGCTCCGAGGCCCCCTTTTCCCCGCCGGCCGGCCAATCAGCGGCCGAGCGGCTGCTAACGGGCTGGGGGCGTGGCCTCGCGCGCCTCCCCCTGCCCCCCTCCGGCGGGTGAGTGACAGGCGGGCGCTGAGGAGCGGCGAGGACGTCGAGCGCCCCCCGCGCGTGCGACGAGGCGGCCCTGACGGGGCAGCGCGGCCCGCCCGCTCCCTCCGCCTCGCCCCGCCGGCACCCCCAGCCCCACCACCACGGCCACCACGGCCACGAGCACCACGGCGGCGGCGGCGGGGTCCGGGCTCCTCACCCGCCCCCCGATGACTGCGGCAAACGGCGGCGGCGCCCACGACGACTTCGACTTCAGGCTCATCTTCGGCGAGGAGGAGGAGGAGGAGGAGGAGGAGGACGGCGGGCACCAGCCGACGGGGCCTGTCCCCGCCGCCGCCTCAGCAGCAGGTGCGCCCAGCCGGGCAGGCCGTGGGAGGGGAGGGGAGGGGAGGGG